TAAATCCCCTTAAAGCGTTTTCCTTTATTTGCTGCCCTTCTAATTAAACTCAATTTAAACTCCACATTCACAGACGAACCGACAGATTCAGAGGGAAAGTCGAGCAAAATCAGAGCCGATCCTGGTGAAAAACATGGAGTCTGACTTTGGTCTGTGGCTCCCAGAGTTTGGTAGAAACTATATTTACATTTACTGGAGCTACATTTCTAAAACTATATAACTTTAGGAGTATTTTTACTATGCTGTACTTTTTACTTGAGTAATTTTATTATGAAGTATTTCTACTCGAGTAAAATTTCTGGATTTTCTCCCCACTGAATGGAAAACAAACACGTTTTAACCAAAGACACAGACACACACCTGCAGTTTCTGTTAAAAGTTTAATCAGTTTTTTATTGAAAGAAACTGATTTGGAAAAATGATTTTGCCTGATTTGGTTATTTTTTGTTACTTTATGAATTATCATCATTTTCATCCTTAAAATACAAAGATTTTTAATTAACTTCATATTTTGTTCCATCTGGTAATGTAATTTTAGATATTAAATGATTGATAATTTGATTAGTTACACTGCAAAAATACAAAATCCTGGTGTAGTGTCTAGCGTAAATATCTTCGTTAACTTGAGTAAGTCAAAATTAACTTAAAAGTAACTTCAGCGAGATATATGAGCTTATTCTTAGTAAATAAATTCTTAATTCTGATGAAAAAGTTCTAGTTTTATTGGCAGATTATTTTACTAATGAAAAAAATGTTTTCTTATAAGTGAAATAATCAGCCAACTAGAACTGGGTTGCTAGGCGACGGGCTGAGCTTGGCTGGCGTTGCTAGGTAACGACTGTGAAATAAGTGACATAATCTGCCAGTAGAATTTTTGTAACAAAATTAAGGCGTTATTAACTTAAAACAAGCTCATATAGCTCGCTGAAAAGTTACTTTATGTTCGTTAAATCTTATTTCAAGTGTACTAAGATATTTGCACAAAAACTAGACCAAATTTACTTGGTAGGATTTTGTGTTTTTGCAGTGTACTCAGTACTTGAGTAAACTTTTTATCAAATACTTTTTCACTCTTACTCGAGTATAATTTTTGGTTTGTCTGGTTGCGTAAAAGCAAATATTTCTAACAAATATGAAACAACAAGCGGTGGGTTTTCCTAACAGGGCCGCCTAGTTTCCAGCTGCTGAACAGAACATTACGGAGGCTGATCCGGTCCGGAGGGGCGGTCGGAGTAATCACCGGTCTGCAGAGCTAATGGAAGCTCACCGCGCTGTGGAAGGCGCAGTCACACTGACCGGCGCAGATAATGGCCACTTGGCCTTAAAAGTCTGATCTGAGCATAATCTGCAGTGTTGTTAAGTAGAGTGTGCATTATGCAGAGAGGCGCTTTCAGAATCCCATTACGCCTCTAATCCCTCCACGCCGCCTAATGCACCGCGCCGCCGCCGCGTCACAACCAGCACCACACATTTTATCTGTTTTCAGGACGGCCGCTCCGCTCTGATCGATGAACAGACAGGAGCGCTTCTGATCTACGGAAGAACTTTAGGGCCACAAAAAAGAAAAAAAAAGAATTCTGATTTTCTTTTTCTTTTTTTTTTTTTTTTTTACAAAATTCCGACTTTTTTCTCAAAATGTCGACTTTTCTGGAGAATTTTTACTATTTCAACACAATTTTGATGTTTTTCTCAAAATTTAAACTTTAATGTCAGAATTTTGGCTTTTTTCTCTGTGTATTTTTTTCTCAAAATTTTGGCTTTTTTTTCCTCAGAGATTTATGTTTCTTTTTCAGAAAAAAAGTCAGAAGTCTGCCCTTATTCTGAGATTTAAGACTTCAGTTTCACAGTCATTACTTTTTTTTAATTCTGACATTTTTTTACCTTAATCTCAGGATTTTAAATTTTTTCATAGAATTCTAATTATGTGTCAATCTATGTTTAAATCCAAATAAAGAGCTTAGGTGTATGTCAGTTATGTAGTTAGCATAGCATTACCTCCCTAAATTAATGGTCAGAGTCATTTTTTCCCAAAACTGACAAGAAAAAACTGGCAAGAAAAAAAGAAAGAAATTGCTTTAGGACGGTGACGGTAATTTGCTTGTTGTTGGAATTGTTAATCTGCACTTTATCTACACTGAAAAAGTGTTGCAAAGAGTTTTAAGGCTAGATTTTCCTGATGGTACATAAACAATTTCAACAAAACAGTATTTATTTCCAGTGGCCCTAATGTTCTTCCATACTGCTCAGTTCCGACTCAGGTAAGTAACCGTTGGGCTCCGTGAGGCCCAAATGTCGGTTCTCATTAGTGTGTTATACTTACGCAGGTAAACATTGTTTGGACTCTTATCCACTGAGACGCTGCAGATTGGGTCGGCGGAGGCCGCAGGCGTCTGCATCCAAACGGAGTAATGGCCTCCTTCCTTATACGTTCGACTCCATCTGCAGCCACAACACAGACAGACAAATTTCCCTGAAAAGCTTTTATCTGATGCCGTTTTTCTGTAAAAGCCGCCTGCTGTTTTTCTCATCAAAACAGTGCAAAGAAAAAAAAATGTGTTAATGGATTCAGATTCACCTGTGAAGCTCAGGAGCTCCACCTGGTGGCAGAACAATGAAAAACACCAATTCCAGATTCTTCAAAAATGTTACAAACTTCAGTTTATATTGGTAAAACCACATCATGATCATTTTTAATTAAAAGATTCATCTAACAAATGGATAAAGTCAGGCATGAAATAAAATATTTCAGTCAAAAACTCACATTTACTGCTTATTATTCAAACTAATATTTTAAAATAAAAAAGTGACAGTTTAATCTGTGTATTAATTTGATTTGAATGCACAGGAACAAGGCATGTTTTATAGTTCATTCACTCTCCAGGATACTCAGCAAATGTATGTAAACTTTTGAACTGAAGGCAAGTTACGAAAAAACCTAAATAGAAATCATTTTGGTAATTCTAACTAAACTAAAACAATAAAAGTTTGGTTTGATTTAACTTCAGACAGACAGTGTGAAAAAACTTTATGTGTCTTTTTATTCTTATTTGTTATTTTTTTTATAAAAAAAAAACAACAACACAACATTGAAGATCAAAAAAGTATTTATAAAAATATCCTGGAGAAGTTGACTGCAGCTCAACATCGTTTTAGATCAATATGTCTTTAAATAACTGCATAACTTCCCTAAAATGTAAAAATATTCCAATGTTTTAGTATTTGTCACCTGATTAAATGTAAAAAAAGCTAAAACTTTAGCAGCGCAGCATAAATCTCCTGATTGTCTCCAGTTTCAGGAACAGAAACATGGATTACATGTTGCTATTGATCCGGAGCTGCGATGACAGACCGGCTGTCACTCTGACGGGTTTTTCTCTCACCGGGGGAAAGCAAATCAATCGTCTGGGTAGAGACCTCAGCATTGATCACAGAAGAACAAAGACCAGAAAAATAAAGGCGATTATGGGAGTAAATCCATCCCCAAAAGCACGGCTGAGTTTATAAAGATGGAAAATGTCTCTGTTCTTCGGTTGCTTTCAGGTTTTAATGAACCATTTTCATCAATATTAGCATGTCGGCTCTTATTAACCCCCGAAAGCTTCCTGATCAATAACCTCAGAGATTTCAGAGACGACGTCACTCAGCTCCCAAAAGCAGGTCACGGTTTCTCAAACAGGCCAGTAAATAATCCCGCAGGATGCTGATGCCACCATTTGTAAGCTAGCAGCAGAAATGGTGAGTGTTAGCGAAGCTAGCAGCTGGTTTTCACCTGCAGAGCGCTGAGTTCCTGGTCTGCGGCTCAACCTGCAGCGTCAGGGCGAATTTAGTGCTGATTACTGCAGACGCATTGTTGTTGTTGGGCTTCACGGTGACCAGCTGCTGCTTCAAACACTGCAACATTAAAAACAGGCAAAAATGTTAATTTAAACAACTAAATACGTCTCCACATTACACAAAGTTAAATGTGACGCATAATTACAGAAAATATGAACAAAAAGAAAATAAATTACACATAATTTGGGATTAAAACAGAAATAATTTGGGTTATTTACCTTATCATAAGAGAAAAAGATATCTTATTTTCACAGCTTCAAACTAAATATTTAGTTAGCTAAACAGAATATTTAGTTTGAAGTTAAATATTTAGCTTGCCAACTAAGATTTTAGATTGCAAATTAAATATTTAGTTTAGTTAGCTTGCTTGCTAAATATTTAATTAAAAACTAGCTTATTTAGCTGGCTTTTGTCAACTAGAATATCAGCTAAATATTTAGTTTGAAGCAAAATAATAAAATTGTAAACTAAATATTTAGCTTATTTAGTTTACCAACTAAATATTTAGTTATCAAGTCAAGTTCTTACCTTAATAACCAAATAAAATGCTAAATATAGCCTTAGCCTGACACGATTAGATTTAGATTATAAACAAAAACATTTTTTTGAATTAAAGATAGTAAACTAAATATTTAGTTATGTTAGCTCGTTAATTTGATATTCAATTCATAAGCTAAATGTCAAGCTTAGTTAGCAGGCTAACTAAATATTTAGTTTGTAAACCAAATATTTAGCTTACTCGTCATTTTTTGTGAGCGAGATTTAGCATCAACGTAAAGATTTAGTTTGTAGCCAACTTTTTAGTTTGTTATGAAGTAATTTTCCGTTACCTTGTAGCAGTAATCTGAGGTGTAGAAAACACGGACCGGTTCTGTTAGCTTGTTGTGAAACGTGAGCAGAGCCTGGTCCATTTTCAGAGGAAGTCCTGCAGAGATTCGATCCTGATTTATAGACTCCATATGGATCGATGATCCATATGAATCCATATCGTTTTTATGATCCATAAAAACGATATGGATCCACAAAGGCGTTTCACATCACAACACGTTTCAGACGAACAACTGGAGGAAAACAGAAAATATGCGACATAAATCAGACTGAGCCAAACGTCACTCATCGTCCTCTGGAAATACAGAATAAAACTCCTCATTTTTGATAATTCCTCCTCTGCTGCAGGTAACCAGGGGTAAAAATAACAGGGCTGCAAAGCGCAGCCTGCTGGAATGCATGTCGCTTCTTGGAAACTATCTGTCCTTCTGCTCATCTTTACAGCTCTCCCACCTGCGTAAAACCCGGTCAAAGGTCAAAAAGGTGTTTTCTTTTCTGCTTGGAGTCATATATCCGGCTAATGTATCGTTATAAATTACGAAATGGACGGATGATAGAAACTCTAAAGTTTATTATGGTTTTAGAGGCGTTTATATGCATTTCTTAACCCAGAGGTTCCCATATTTTTCCACGCCATGACCACCAAATAGCATTAGCTTCGGGTCGGGACCCTCTTTGAAAACCCGCAGATAATGCTACAAAATACCCAACGAAACATCAATTTTTAGAATATTTTTCTTACTTTTATTTATTATTCAATGTCCCCCGCAGGCGGGCAGCTGGACGGTTCCTTGGGTCTTTTTCTTGTCGGTAAACTTGTGTCCATTTCGCACTTGCTTGCTATGCTAACTATGCTAGCAGTCCAGTCATAAAGATGAGTGTGGTAAATAACTTTTCAATAAATTATTTTAACTTAATAATGACTGTACACTAGAATAATTTTATGATAAAAATATATATAGTTAAAACTGTATTATTACAAATTGTATTAGTATTTTTATTTTTGTCATTTTTTCCCTCTTGTTTCCACCTTCCCTCTAGCGCCCTCTGGCGGCAGCCGTTTTAGAAAACATTGTCTGAACTCCGTCGTCTCCAGTTTTTGACCCAATCTCCTGAAATGCAGCCAACTGGTAAATGCTGATCCCAGTAACGTCTTCATTTCATTAACCAGTTCATTTCCTCCAGCTCTCCCAGTGACAGATGTGTTCACTGGGGCAAATCCCACTGGAGGAACCTGTTAACCTTTGGCCTTTGGAATGACCTTTCAGATCTGCTGATCTGCTCTCGGTTTCTGCATTCTTTAGTTTTTACATCTGTAGGTTTTTAGACTCAAATTTAATACATTATTCAAACCTAATGCTACCTTACAACTCAGTGTGATGGTTAATTCAAAATGTGACATTTTAATGTGAAAAATTAATGTTAGCGTAACAGAGTTACAAATGTGCTTTTTAAAAAAAATATTTCTAAATCATTTCATATTGAGAATTTGTGAATTTTATCTTATTCAGTTATTTTTATTTGCTGTTTTTGCCTGCGCGGATCGCCTTTCTGCTCGCTGCCTCGTTTGTGTCTCCTGGGCTTCCGTAGCTCGGTCCAGCCCTCACCGCTTCCCCCTTTTCCCTCAGCGGTGTTCCGCGCTGCTGTGGGTAAGTCCGAGGAAAGTTCGCTGCTGCGATATGCGTTTGTTTTCTGTACGGATGTTGTTGTTTATGTTGAAGTTTTACCATATGATGTTTATTGTTTGTTAGTGTGTTATTTTGCAGTTATAACCATCATTGTGGGTTTTTGAAACCAGTTTTATTATAATTTTCTTTTTTTATTTTGGCGCGAACAACCGGTGCTAATCCAGCACAGTTCGGTTGAGCATTGTTTTTATTCTCACATGTAGGCTGGAGCAGGGAGAGAGAGTTGAAGAGGATGTTGGTTTGTTTTTACTCTTCTCCCCCTGGTGTGTGTTTGTATTTTAAGTTGCACTTTTTATCTCTGTTTATTTAACGCTGTCCCACTATTGTGTTGCTGTGGCCTCCAGGTGGCGTTTTAGTCCTCTTGTTTTTAGTTTATGCTTTTTGTGAGGAGATTTCTTTTTTGTTGTTGACTTTTGTTGAATCTGAGAAAAAAAAATGTTAGTAGTCAGCGTTGTTCTGCGCTGCTGAGGTTGATTTGTTTTTACTCTTCTCAGAATAAAAGTTTTTATTGAAACCTGGTCGAATGACTTCTGGAGACTCATTGATACCACCCATTACATTTGATTTATTTCATTTACTGAAAATAGGGAATTTTATTCCTCAGAATACTGAATAGAAAGTCCATCTTTCCTGCTGCATTTTATTTTTTCCAAACTTACCCACACTGTCATAGTTTTCAATTATATTTAGTCCACAGAGTAACTTTTAGTGTTTCTACAGAGGGCCAAAAGTGCCACAACATAATAAACAAATGTTAAAACTTTATTTATATATAATGTATATTTATTTACTTAATGTACACATATATTTATTTAATTTACCTTTGGGATTTATAACATATTTTTGAATTTGAATAACTGGATAAAAATGGTGGTATATTCATATGAGCACTTTCTAATTAATTTACTAATTTTAAACAATATTTAACACTCGGTCAACTAAATCATCACATTTAATTACTAAATAAATATAATAATGAATAAATTAATATATTAAATAAAAACATTTACAAATTTCTGGCACTAAAGTTGCCAGAAATTTGATTTATACATCTAATTAAATATGGATAGTTAAAATAATCTAAATTCCTCATATGTTAATGGCAGATATGGGTATTCTGTCTCTGTCCGTTATTAAACATGGTCTAACATCTGATTGGTTGACCTGTAGAATTTGGTCCAATTCAGACCAATCATCTTGACAAGAGATGGTTTAGCCCCGCCCACTTTTACACCAATGGTTACAGATGAAGTTACGTTCTGTTGGGTCTAGAAAAAACATTGTAAATGACAAAAATCAATACTTTTATTGACATTTAATTTTTTTTCTCCTTTGTTCAACTAAATATGTATTTATTTTCTGTTTTAGTAGCTTTTTATGCACTATTTGGAGCTGATTTGTGTGTGATTTCCCTGCATTTTATTGAACATTAACCTTAGCTTCACTGTTTGTACAGAATATTGATTATTTTTAGTGAGTCCAGGAAGCAGAGTGTCATCACAGAGCAAACAGCAGCTGGCCCCACGCATGCCTGGTGCAGCAGACGCGTGTTTATGATTAAACCTGCGGCTGGACTCGCCTCTGTCTGGGATGATTTCTGCTCAGGCTTCAGCAGAGACGGCCTCTCAGGACCCCCAGCTGTCTGTTCAGATGGATTAGGTCCAGCTGCAGTCAGCGGCTCCCGCAGCAGAGCTTCCTCTCTTCCAGCATGGTGAGTACGGCAACCTGTTGCTTCACCTCCGACGTTTTTACACCACAACGAACAGGAATGTGCGGGATTTATGCAGAAATGCGCAGGTTTATCCCGACTGTCCGCTGAGTTTGCGTGTTGGAGCCAGAGGGGATTTGTTTGTGAGCTGATGATGTTACTGATTGAGCAGATTACATTGTTGCTATGATACCTGATGATGTCACAGCGCAGATCCAAAGAAACATCTGCTTGGTTCAAACAGCTGACTAAAATCATGTGACTTTGAATAAATAGCTAAAAACTAAAATAGAAATGACCAAATGTATGCAGACAATCCCCTCAACCAACAGAAAACACATTTAAATAATCAGATTTTTTTTTTAAAGCAGGAATGCGGCGGCTTATCGTTTCCAGATGGACGCGTTTTCAGCCAATCAGTGTTTGTGTTTGAGAAGCTGCCCCTCTCCCCACCCGCAGCGGCGAGTAAAAGCCTCTGCAGGCAGAGACAGAGGGGCAAGAGGAGCATATTTATAACAAAAAAATCAAAAAATCAAGGAAAATTCACAGTAAAATAAGGAAACTTTCTGAGCTCCAAACGTCAAAAACTATCTAGAAAAAAAACGATAAATTTGAGATTAATTTTAAACATTTTCTACAAAAAATGGAAATTTCCAGAGTTGGAAAAGTGAAATATTTTCAGTTTCTGAAACCCAGAAAATTTCTACTAAAAAAACAAGAAAATCAGAGTTTCAATAATTGAAAATTTGCTAGAAAAAATCTGAAATTTTTAGATTAATCTGAGAAATTTTCTAAAACAAACTTGGAAATTTGAATTTTAAAAATCAAATTTTCTAAAAATAAAAGACAAAGTAAGTTTCTGACTTTGAAAAGCTAAAAATTTGCTGGGGAAAAAAAAATAATTTTGAGATTAGTCTCAAAATTTCTGCATGGACATTTGAGTGTCAAAACATTTCTAGAAGAAACAAGAAAATATCTGAGCTCCAAAAGAAAATAATATTGACTAGAAATAAAAATTCCAGAAAATTTTTGATTTCTGAGTTTGAAAATTCAAAAATTTGCAAGGAAGAAAAAGTTTCAAAAGTCGAAAATTTTCAAAATTTGAAATGCAGAAAATTTCAAGGAAATATCTGAGCTCTCTCATGTTCCTGCCATGCTGCAGGCCGGTAAGATCCAGACTCTGAGCGAAGAGGAGCGCGCTCACCTGCTGCCGCTGCTGCGAAACGCCCAGTGGGTGGAGACGGTCGGCCGCGACGCCATCTACAAAGAATTCATTTTCAAAGACTTCAATCAGGTTTGTTCATCAAAGCCGCTTATGAACGCCGTCTGAACATGACTGCGTGACGCTTCCGCTCCGCCTGCAGGCTTTCGGGTTCATGTCCAGAGTGGCCTTACAAGCGGAGAAGATGGACCATCATCCCGAGTGGTTCAACGTTTACAACAAGGTACCAAACATCAGCTGAGGTTACATGTTGGTAGATATGTGCAAAAATTAATTAAATAACATTTTACTAATGTTTTAATAATATTGGACGTGTTAAAACCTCACATCCAACATTTAGGTACAAAAAAATAAAATTTATAGGAGGATCTCAATCATATGGAAGGCCATTGCTGCCACTCTGATGAAAAACAAAATCCAACTTGTTTCTTAATTATGACTAAGCGATGATGTAAATATGAGATTATCCCATAATTACATGCTTATCAGTTTAAATTACTGGTTCAACTTGATCACTTAAATTAGATTTGTCAGTAGCTGCGTTTCCAAAAATATGCACAAAATGTTGCTAATGTTATTTGTAATTTTGTAATTGCATTGCTTCCATTAAATAAGAATTAATAAATTTGTTCACGTGATAAGTCATAAAAAAACATGTGGCACCATCATCCTCCAACTACTTCCTGTCATCTTCTTTGTTGTTTCTGCCAGTAGTAAGATCCGGTTGTTTATCATGTGACTCGTGATGTGAAAAAAGTGTTTCCATTGCAGTTTTCTGAAATAAAACAATTTCCATACTAAAACAACCCACCTAATTAACTGTCTCCATTGACCATAATTGTACAAATTGGAATTACAAAAATAAAATTGCTTGATAAACCGATGCCAAAAAAAATCATTTTTGATAAAGTTATTGCCCTGCTGTGAAGTGCCAACATTTATTTTGCAAAACTGCAAACATTTTACACATCACAAGAGTCGCATGATCAACAACAGGATGTTACTACTGGCAGAAACGACAAAGACGACAAAGAGGACTTGGTAGGAGGAGGATGGCGTAGCGGGTTTTTTAATGACTTATTGCGTGAACAAACTAATTCAGTAATTGTGTTTATTTAATAGAAACACTCCAATTGCAAAATTGTGTTTTTTGACATTAGCAAAATAGCGGTAAAGGTTTGCAACACATTTATAATGGAAAAACAGTGACTCTAGTGCAAAGAGTGAGTTTCTTTTAAATGGTTATGTTTCCATTAAGCAAATGTATGTTTGTATTTCCAATTTGTGTATTTACATGGTCTTTAGAAACTGAGCTAGCATTGAGTGTGGCGGTTCTTTTTTATCCCTGCAGGTCCAGATTACACTCAGCACCCACGACTGCGGCGGATTGTCTCAGCGCGACATCACTTTGGCCACCTTCATCGACCAGGCCTCCCTGATGTGATGCTGCTTTAACTGAGAAACATCGATCGGATTTCAAACGCAGAAAGCAGATTACTCCCAGTTCTCTGTGAAAAAGAAAAATATGTAGCCGATTGAAACTGAGAAAACAGAATCAGGTTTACGTTACGTTAGAATTTGACTAATTCCAGCAGTCGTGATCCATTCCAGTCAGTGTCGCAGAAAAAACAGTGATTTGTTGTGCCTGTTTTTTGTATTACGGTACTAAAATGTTAGCTTGCATTTGTGACCTGATGAGGCTAAATAATGACCAAGACGCCATTTTATCAGGGTGATTTATGTATCTTATAAGGTAGAAAAGTTCTGACTCAATCTCGTTGAGAGTTCAAGAGAGAAAGGGGAAAAAAACAACCTTATTTCAGTTTTTGGGCTTTAAAATAAAGAAAAACAAAAAACATTTGGCCGAAGAAGTATTGGTACATTTTCTCCTGTGGAAAATGATGCAAAGAAAATGGATAATACAAGGAAAATAGATATAAAAAGAATATTACTGTAACTTTTTGTCATTTTGCCCATCATCCATGACAGACACAAAGGGCTAGCTAGCTAGCAAGGCTATATTAGCAGCTAGTTAGCACTAGCTTCAACCCAAGAAAATGGACAGAAGAAAACTAAGACAAAAGAAAACTACAAGCAAGACTAAAATTAACTTTTATAAAAATATGATTTTTACATATTAAAATTGTCACCATGTTGTGACAGTTTGTTACAAAATTTAAGATTTATGATAAACGTATTAAAAGACAACATACATTATTTTAATGAGCCAAAGACAGGGAGGCCAAAACGAGCTAAATTTAACTACTAGGCCACAAAGTTGATTAAATTAAAACTGCAAGATATAGTTTGATTTTTTTTTTATTGTTTTACCTGCTCAAAAATAAACATTTTTAGTAAATCTATATCTTTAAATATCAAAACCAAAAATGGCTTCAGACTGTTGACTTATTAAAAGAAAAACAGACATTTTCCCAAATATTTGACATGTTGTTAAGGGCCAGACAAAATCATTTGAAGGGCCACAAATGGCCCCCCGCCCACACTTTGGCCCCAAATCTTTATACTAGTGTGTCCTTATTCGAGTTATTTTAACATTTTATTTGAACTACTTGTAAACCCATACTACTAAATACAATCATTTAATGAGAATAAAGGGCAGACTGTTTATTTTCTGTGGAAAAAAGGCATTAGAGTAAAAGTTACAGCAAAAAGTCTTTATGGAAAGACTCGTTCAGAGTCGTTTGTTAGTCTTTATGTTGTTCACTGAGCCTCTGGCTGGACTCAGTTTATAGGTTTAACAGGCAGATGTGATGTAAATGTTACTGGACTGAACGATGATTCAACACATCAGGCACTGAATAAAACATGGAGGAAAAAAACAACAAAACCAAGTACATTCATGTGTAATTGAGTAAAAACGCTGAAAACAAAAAAAAGGCTTGAATGTTGATTAGAAAGTGGTTAAAAGTTTTTATGACGGCGCATTACGGCCACTGTAGAAAGAAAGGAGACAAAGGAGCAAATTTCTGCCATAAAACTTTTAAAAAAAAAATTTGATTAAATTTCAAATTTTCCAGAAAAAAAAATAGAAATTTATGAGGTCCAAAATTTATAAAAAATAAAATCTCAGAATTGTTTTTAGAAAGATAAAAAATTATTTAAATTGGGACATTTTAAATTTTTGAAACTCAAATTAAAAAAAGTGGAGAATTAACAAAATTCAGAAAGTTTTCAAGTTTTTCCTAGAAAATCACTGAGATTAATTTCATTATCTTTTTTCCTAGCAAATTTTCCACTTTTGAAACTCAGAAATTTCCATTTTTCCTAGAAAATTTCTGTGAATAAGCTCAAACTTTGTTAGTTTTTTTACTAATTTTTCTCTCGTTGATGGTCCTAATACGCCGCCGTATATTTTAAATCATTATTATTATGTGGCTGATTTAAACACCAACAGAGGAGATTCTCCCTTTTTCGCACCACTTCGCACAAGAAAAACGTATATTGCACAAAACTACTTTAACCGCATCAGGACAACACACGAGTCAGAGACAAAGTGATTTACAGTTTGCTTCGTTAACCTTTAAGGAACTGTCTACATTTCCGGAAACGTCCTCCCAACCGCCTGGTCTGCGGGTCTGAAACCGTGTCAACATGGCGGCCTGATAAACTCCCAGTGTTGTGTGGAAATCTGTCAGCCTGCTGGATGAGGCGAGTACAAACTGAGGTAGATTCAATTAGGACACAAATTAGCACAAGACTAAACACAGAGTAGAAACCACTGAGAAGGAAACAGACCAAGAGTTGAAACTTCAGTCTGTTAGGAAGAAACCTGAAATCTGATTGAATCTGGATATTAATGCCCCTCGTCTCCTTTACGGCCAAGCATCAAAACTCTGGGAACAAATGAACTCCTCATGCAGGCAGAGCCAACAGTCAGACCGAGGTTTTCAGAGACCTGCAGCACAACGCCGTGTTACGGCCGTCACAGGAAAAATAAAGGAGTAAATTCCCACCAAAAATCTCCAAAACTTTCAGATCAATATCAGAAATTTTCTAGAAAATACACGGAAATTTCTGGTATTGAAAAGTCAAATATTTGTTAGATAAAAACCCAAATTTCGAGATTAACATAAGAAATTTTCCAGCAAAAACAAATTTCTAGGTTTCAAAAGTTAATTTTTTTTTGACTATTATACATTTTCTAAGTTTCAAGAATTGGGATTTTTCAACTTTTGGACAATTTTGAATTTGAAAAATTTAAAATTTGCACACGCAAAAAAAAAATTTAGACTAATTGCTGAAATGTTCTGGAAAAATAACCCTGAAATTTGTCAGTTTCAAAGATCGAAAATATAAAATTTTTGAAACAGAAATTTCCAAGCGTTTTCAGGGAAAAAAAGAGATTAATCTAAAAGTTTTTGAGTCGTTTGTAGCATATTTTAGTCTTTTCAAAAGTTTTTTTCTTGACAATTTCTGAGATAAATCTAAAAATTGGAACAATTTCTATCAAATACTCAAGTTTTGAAACATAAATGTTCTTATTTTTTCTACAAAATATTTCTGATTAGTCTCAAAATTAATCCGAATATTTGCTAGCTTTTTCTTGCAAATTTTTGACTTTTGAAAATGTTCTACTCTTCAAAAGTGAAAAAATTTTAATTTTTGAAACTCGGAAATTTGAGAGTTTTCTAACAAATTTTTCACTTTTAGTCACTTTTAAATGTTCAAATTTTTTTCTAGGAAATTTCTTAGTTTTTTGGTGGATTTGAAAGGCCGCCGGACTGCAGAGCTCTTTGCACCGACAAGACCAAATGAAATACATGCTGCATGTTGAGGCAGAAATATTGCTGCAGTTCTAACGTTTTCACGCTAGAGGGCAGCACAGCAGCTCTAACAGTGGTTTGAAGTGTTGCTGAAAGAAGCCGAAATGTTCAGACAAAAATAAAAACAATGAAAACAGAAGAAAAACTGAATTGTTTCGTTATAGTTTAAACACAGGTGCATCTCAAAATATCAAAAACTTCTGAAATTTCCACCATTTCCACTGTTAACGTGTTTATATTGATGATTATAGCAGAAATCTAATGAAAACCAAAGATAAAAGTCTCTTAGAAATTACTCTACAAGTCCAATAACATCAAAATATCAGCAGGGCTGCATACAAGCAAAGTTAATGGAAAGTTAACTGGAAGAAAAAACTGTGGGCTTCCTCAGGACTGCTACTTCCTGATCCCCTCCATGCCATGCTGCATTGATGCAGTAGTTTCCTAGAATGTAATATTCTAATCTTGAGAGAAGAAGGCTTTTAGATTTTCATTAGATTGAATGAATAATCACAGAAATGATCAGAAATAAACATTGAAATCAACAGATTAATTTTATGATGTTTTTTTGATTTCTTGAGATGCACCAGTAGAACATGTCAAGATTAACAAATGAAAACTGTCACTGAAATGAATGGAAGATAAAATAACACACACACACACACACACACACACACACACAGTCCGATGGCATTGTTAAAATCAAGTTAAAGGTTCTGGTGGACCCAGGAAAGTCCAGTTTCCCTCTGGGTTCAGCTTAGCGATGATGGCTTCTTCTCTCTCTCTGCAGACGTTCTCAGTGCAGTTTTAAATAAGGCAACCGTTGAGCGATTTAACAAGGAGCGCATTGACCTTGAAATCGGGTTCAAGGACGTGGAGAGTTAAACTTTAGTGGGCTTTGCCGTTGCCGTTCATGTGGCTGACATTGGATTTCGGTACCTCGGTGCTGTAGAGGCAGTCCAGGAACCCTCTGGAGATCTCCGTCACCAGGGACCGGTCCGGGATGGACTGGGCCATGCCGTAGATCGCCCCCTGGAGGGGAGAGGGAGAGCGATCAGACAAACCCAAACTCATCATTCAGTCCAGATGACAGACAAGATGGCTCCGCCCACGCTGAGTTTCACTCAGGAAGAGCAACCCTCCGACAAACTACCGCTGGAAAAGGCTGTGATCCTCACAGCGATTCAGAAAGAGTCATACATTAGGTTTGTATGGAAGACAACTTGTGCCACTTGGAGAAAAAAGGGAATTTACTTTTCCTATTATCAAAATTTTGACTTTTTTCCCCCCAGAATGTACCTTTTTTTTCTCAACATTTTGGCTTTGGTTTCTCAGAAGTTTGGCTTTTTCTCTTTATCATTTTATTCTGCTCAGTTTCAGAATGAGATGTTTTAGGGCATCTTGTTACTTTAAATCCAAATAAGCTGCTGCTAGCCACGCCCCCAACTCGACATTTACAAATACACTTGAAAATGGCTACAAACAAATACGTAATTATACAGCTGTACATCTTTGAAAAGCAGAAGTGGAGCCTCCTGCACAACCAACTGGAATCCAGCAAGTGGTTCCTGGAAGGTAATTCAACAACAAAACACTCGTCTTTTCCAGCATATATAGTGGTAAAACCAGCTGACCAAACATGCTGGAGCTCAGCTTGGGTTGCTAGGTAATGTTACATTCAAAAGGTTCCCAGAATGGCTCATTTCTGAGACACCAAAAAACATTAACTTATTGCCAAAAACAGCTGGGTGGTTTCTTAAGGTGCTTGGGTTGTTTTTAGAAGCAGTAAAAATCCAAATCACCAACTCACCATTCCTGTGGTTTTCTCACTGGGGTTCTTCATGATGATGGCGACCTGCTCTTTAACTTCCCGAATGAACCGATCAGCGACGCCAGGATGGGTGTGCAGCACCGTGCAGCAGAGGTGGATGCTGCAAAGGAAGAAACGACGCTGTAAACACTGAAACTACCAGCATGGTTGGAACGTACGGAAGCTCAGAAAGGACGAGAATTACACCACTTGGCCTCCAACTAAAGAACATCAGCTTAATGTTTGCAGAGGTGGGAAATGTATCCAAAAATGTTATTTAAGTGAAAGTAGTACTGCTTCAACATATTTTTATTCAAGTCCGCTCATTTTTTATCATGAGAGGAATCTTGTTTATCCAGTTTTTACATTAGTTTCCTGTTAAATTCATAGATGATTTACTCTGCAGCTGACAGAGTTTCCCCCATCCGTCACTTTCTGTCACCCTGCATACTTTCATTTCTGACTCGGCTTTTAGTTAAAGTTATTGTGAGGAGACATGCTGGTGATTTTTGTTTATTATTCATTTCAAACAGGTTTTTAAAAACAAAGACGGTATTAATGCCAGTAACTTTCTGCGTATTTGTTTTTGTGTCCCCTTAGAAAGTACCTCAGTATCAGTTCTTCTGTTTATTGTTTCAATTAGTGGCTGGATTCAATAAAAAATAATTTAACTAATTGCAGGGTCTGTAAATAATTTATCAACAAAATAAGCAACATTTTCAATTCAGAAACCATTTTGAATTGAAAAATTCAAAATGGTTTTGCTGCTTAAAATACTGAATTAATAGACATTTTAGCACAAAAACCATTAAATTTCTGTTTAATTTGTTATTGGTGCAAAGTAAATTCGATTCAGAAACAATTTACTTGGATATATATTTTTAAAGTTAATAAAATTTATTTTTTCAAAATAAAAATACACTAGAACCAAAGTTTCTCTGTTAATCTGTGGATTATTTCTGGACAATATTTCAAAATTCAAATAAAAAATAAAAGGGAAATCAAAAGTTGTAATTCAATGAGTTATTGAAGCTCTCCTGTAGCAGTCTGTATTACAGTGAATTTCAAGAAGCCTCTGAATGAAGACTATTTTTCATCATTTTCTTGATTTTATGTTTTTCCAACCTAATCTCCAGAGATGATTTCATCCTCCTGACTCAGAAATTTGTAGTTTTTTTCTCTAAATTTCCCGCTTTCCCCTCATCCAACCTGGACGGAAACTGCAGCGTGTTCAGGTTCCAGCCCTTTGACGTCAGCGCATTCGAAAGGCGGAAGATGTCGAAGTCCTCGGAGCCGATGGCCACCACGGACACCTCCGGGTTCCCGAACACAAATACTCCCTTTATTTTTCTAATCCTGTCCAAAACAAAAACAGAAAACCAACAGACGTTAGCATGGTGCGCTGCTGCGTCGGTTCAGCGCCGGCTGCACGCGGCCGTCTCACTCGTTTCTGATCTTGCGCGCCGTGCCGATGATCTTCTTGGTGGCCTCCACGTAGCCGCTCTCTCCCATGTACATCATGGTGGCCCAGCAGGCGGCGATGATTCCTCCGGGCCTGGAGCCCGCCACAGACGGCGAGGCGTAGATCCCCCCCTGCCAGTCTGGAGCCACGAAGTACTGGTACTGACGGTACTTTTTATCGCTGTAGAGGATCACAGAGGAGCCTTTGGGCGCGTAGCCGTACTGGAGAGAAAAGGAGGTGGAAAGAAAAAAGCTACATGAGACTTTGTGACTTTATTTAAACCAGAGCTGTCCGAAGTTTGTGCCAAAATTACATTCAGAGAACCACTTTTCTATTTCTACTAAAACTTGAAAGGTTCAACTTTTAATATATTTTGTTAATATATTAACAAATGTTAATATAGACAATATTTTTACAAAAATAAGCTAAATCAAAATTTTTTAGAAAGGGAATCTGTAAACTATTGTTGATCCAAAAAGGTTTCTGTATTCCAAAGCTTTTTTGGGGTTTATTTCCCTTGTTTCTTTTTTCTTTTTACATTTAGAAAAAAAAAAGTTTGGGCAGAGTTTGCTGGTTTTAGCAAAATGTAATCAATGAAAACAGAAAGATTTTACTAAAACAAAAATAAGTTGTCTTGTACATAAATAAATGTTGTTTAAAAAGATTTTATTTGTGTTAAAATCTCAAATTAATCACAAATTTGCTCCATTATTTAATTGTTGACTGAAACATGAAAAAGTGCACTGGGAATTTTTTTCATTTATAAAATGGGAAAATGTCTTGTCATTAGAGAAACAATCTGCCAATGGAACTAGAAGTCAGTTGCTAGGTAACGGGCTGGGCTTGGCTGGCGTTGCTAGGTAACGGGCTGGGCTTGGCTGGCGTTGCTAGGTAACGGCCTAGAGCCCATTGACTGTGAAATAACTGAAATAATCTGCCAAAAGAACTAGCACTTTTTCATCAATATTAAGGAATTATTTATTTAAAACAAGTTTCTATTTCTGAAAAGTTACTTCTAAGTTAGTTTTGTCTTATTTCAAATACTCTAAGATATTTATGTGAGAAAATAGGCCAAAAATACTGTGTAAGATTTAGTATTTCTACAGTGCCTGCTCTGTGTGGGATCCAACTCTGGTCTCTAGTTAATCACGTTCCTTACCTTGTGGGTGTCTGCAGAGATGCTGGTAACTCCCTTCACTCTGAAGTCAAACGGGGTGAGTGAGTAACCAGCTTTTTGCATGAAAACAATGAGGAACCCGCCCAAACAGGCATCCACATGCAGTGGGATGTCATAGCGCACCGCCAGCTGCAACACAGCAAGGGAAAGTTTCAAAGAACGGACTTCCCCGTTTCTGTTTTTGGGCATATTGGGTTAGGAAATGTCTGGCCTCTGACCTTGGCTACTTCTTCAACCGGATCCATGATTCCATGTGGGAACTGGGGCGCCGAGCAGACAAGCATGGCTGTGTTTTTGCTGATGGCTCTCCTCATCGCCTTGGTGCAGAGAAAACAAAAGAAGAATAATGAACATTGAAAGCAGGAAACACTGAAAGGGAATAACACACACACACTCACCTTAACGTCAACCTTCATGGTCTTCTGGTCAAGAGGAATGTGGACAAGTTTCATCCCAAAGTAATGTGCTGCTTTGTCGAACGCTGCGTGGACGCTCACTGGAGCAAGACTGGAGATTAGGACAAAAAAACACCTCAGCACTTTCACTGGAACATACGGCTGAAACGATTAATCGCGATTAATCAGCTATTGAAATAATCAGCAACTAATTTAGTAATCGATTAATCGTTAAGTAGAGAATATAAACTAAAAAAAAGGTCATTTACTAACAGACCAATGCAATCAGAGCAGTAATTTGATTAATCGTCACAATAATTGATTGATTAATAGATAACTAAAGTAATTGTTAGCTGCAGCCCTACTGGAAACAAAAAGCCAGGTCTTCTGAAGCTCATCTTACATTTCAGGGAACGTCACGCCTCGCTCACAAGCCATGTCTCTGTACGCTTTGCAGGCCATCAGGATGCTCTCCGTTCCTCCAGAAGTGACCTGGGAAAAAGCCAACATGAAGATGCATCAAATTCAGCAAATCTTTCCTCAACGGCTTGTGGATTTCCTGAGATTATAAACATAATATTTTATTTGGAGTCTGAAGTCTGGGGTTTTACAGTTCCACAGGAGTTGGGTCCACCGTTGAACAGGGAGCAGGACATTCGGACAACCTCAGCTTCCATCTTCCTGACGCCAGGAAAGATGTCTGGGTGGAGAGGGTTGCTCCACGCAAAATCTCCATAAACCTGCGCAACAAAACATAAAATGGGAAAAAAAACTTAGAACAAAGTCACACAACTACCAACAAAAAAAGCTTTCAAGTGTAGCAGGGCTGAAACGATTAATCATGAAAAACCGATTAATCGCTGACTGCAGTATCCAGAGTAAAACAAGGCCATTTACTGAAAATGTTTATTCTCTTAATGAAAAAAGGATCTTAATTATTTTTTGTTTATTTGTATCAAAATCTAATAAAGCACTGGCACATTTTGCAGATTTTTTATTTAACCACTAAAGTCTTTATTATACAACATTTGAACTACAAAAACAACCAAATTCCTTTTTTAAACAAGAAAATAATAATTGTCTTGCCTCATACCTTCACCAGGAGTTTGGTCAGGGTTTCATCCCCCCAGTACACGGCACCGGAAACACACCCTTTGTCCCACTGAACCTCGTCTGGAAAACAAATATTTTAATTTAATTTTATATCTCATTCACTCAATAATATGACTGAATGAAATGGAGCAGAAGGAAGTAAAAACTTATATCTGCCCCCTACTGACATGACAATTAATCTCAGAGGACTACAAACATATTTCAAATGCACAAAAAATAAACAAAACAAGCAAAACAGCTGAACGCTGTGTCTCATTTTCTTTATACATTTACGATTTAGTGCATTAAGTTGACAACTTGATAAAACCAATGCTAGTTATCATCAGCAGGGAGATGGAGATGGGATCTTGGTCTATAAAGTCTTAATAAAGGAAAACATGAGAAATAATTAATTTTGCCCGCCAGGCTTATAAACCTGACAGATTCAACTCCACATTTCCTGACAAGACGTCAGAAACAAGCAGCTTTCTTGGGAACATAAATATCTCCCGATCCAAGCGGCTCATTGCAGCTGAATCACTTACTCAGCGTTTGATACTCTTTGATTTTTTCCATGACTTGGCTCTGAGTTAGCCCCTTAGTGGGCAGCTGCTGAGTGTAGCTCATGCCCTCCTTCAGCGTACACAGACTGTGGGACATGTCGTCCAGAGCCTTGTTCAGCTGCTTCTGAATCTGTTGCATTAAAAAAGAAAGACAGACATTTGTAATTGCAATAAAGTTGCTGAAGTCAGCAGAAGTAAAAGTGTGACTAGCTGAACTGAAGTAACCAGCTTATCATGAGTGCGTGATGCAAAGTGTGCCAAAGGTCCCATAGTGACTCACAGGAATCCCAGACAACAATCGGACCACAGAGGAGGAGCAGATCCACCACAGAACTTACATTGTCACCAACAAAGGGTATTTTTCTGATGAGTTGAAAGACTTGCTTCTTGATTCTGGAAGTGAGACCTGAACCGGAGACAAAGAGCAGCAGCTGTGGGTGAAAATTACAAGAAGCAATCGCAGCTGACTGTGACTAACACTGCATTCAGTTTGATGAAATCATCATTTTATTCTGCCAAGTGGGGGAATATTTTGGGGGTTTTCACCTCTACAAGCCTGAACAGCAGAAACGCCGAGTGGCTGTTAGTAGATGCAAAATGCCCTGAAATGAAATACCTAAACATTTCTGTTTTCAGGAACGGGAATGTCTTAAAACTAAAACCTTTCACTAACAAACAATAAATCAATTAATCGCATGATTAAAACAAGCTCAATAATTTCCATTTCCATGATTTATTGTTTTTTCTTTTCTTTTCTTCCTTTCTACCACAAGCTGGATGACAAGTCTTCTGTCTGGTGTTTGTTTATAGAGACTTCATAATTCACTTTATTTGTTGTTTCTATTGTTCAGTTTATTTATTTTTGGTTATTTAAAATGTCTTCCAGTTAAAGTGTTAAACGTTCATTAGAATTTAAAGTTTATTGATTTTTGAGAATATCTTCTTGCATTATTTTTCCATTATATTACTTGGAAATGGTCTCAAAACAACATTATCATTTATCACAATAACTTCTGGAAAAATTAATCGTCCATTAATCGTGTTTGTGTCCATGTGATGTTTGGTCGCCTTATTAGATCATTTAGAAGCAATAGGAATATTGTTTGTTTTAAGTAAAAATAACTAGATAATTTTAGATATTTTTATATTGTGTCAATACAATAAACTGTTTTTTCTTTTCTACTCCAAATTATTATAAATTGAAAGTACAATACCGACCCAAATAAGAACAAAAACTCTGATTACTCTGAAAATTATGTGAAAGTAAGGGTGGGCATTTATCGTAAAATATTTCTTACCATCATAAAAAAATGTATTGTTGTCTCAATAAATTTTAATTAATGATGTTAAATAAAAAGTAAAACTGAAAGCATTACTGGAAAATTAGATATTTTCTCCACTATTAGTTTCTTGAAAGTATTAATAAATATCAATAATTTAAAAAATACAACAGAATGCAGTTACTGTGTGCAGTATGGTGAAATAAATCTCACTTGTCCTAAAATGGGAGTGTTTAAGTATAAATAGCTTATTTTATCATCATTTTTATCGTTATCACAATAGTTTTACAAGATATCTCGATACAACTCAGAGTCCATGTCACCCATCCTTATGTGAAAGCAGCTGTAGCTCATTATTTAATTATTTCCAGGTGTGAAATATTACTTTCTCGCTGGAAGAGGAATCGTTTGAGCCAGAGAACCGCCAGCGTGGTGAGAACAGATGCTCCGATGATTTGCCACGGCTCCAGGTGGGAGCAGCGGGAGTTGAGCTGCCGCCGGCCTTCCTCCAGGTACAGCAGCAACATCTCCTTATACACCTCCAAGGCACTCTGAAAGGACAACACACGACTTATAATTCATTTTTTATTTATGTTTTATTACATTAAAATCGGCTCCATTCATTTAACTAATAACGTCCGCTTAGTCCTTCTTTTAGTGTTGTAGTTTGGCTGTCATCCACCAGGGGGCGCAGCTGGTTAAGGGGAGCCAGCAGTCTGTTAAAAACAAAGATGGCGGAGGCTCCTTAGAACGGGAAATTGTAACGGTCCAAATAGGGTTGCCACCCATCCCTTAAAATACGGAATCGTTCCGCATTTGGCTGTTAAACGATACGGGACGCGATTTGTTCCGTATTTCTATAAATGTCCGATAGACACGCCTATCACACACATATCAACACTAATTATAACAATAATGACCAAAATAAAACACAGGAAATATTAAGGTCAGCTAAATTCTCGTGGCAGGAGTTAAAGGACCCCTGAACGCTACGGACCGACGCTGTTGTCACGGTTGCCTAGAGACGGACATTGCGCAGCCGCGCTGAGCTGCTATCAACCCGGATCTTTTTAAAACGTCCTCAGCCCGATACTCCACCGTCCTTAGAAGTAAAACCTCTCGTATATATACAGAAGTGAGAGAGAAGACGCAAATCCCAGGCTGAATAATGTTAGTGAGAAAAAAGCAAAAGAAATGTGTTCGTCCTGGCGCAGTGTGCTACCAGACAGAATGGATCAGGAGAGGAACTGCAGACCCGTCAGAACCTAAAGAACCAGAAATCAGTATCTCTCAATCATCTCCTGAGGCTGATATGGTAGAACATTTTATTGTTGATTAAGTTTCTTATTGTGCTTTTAGTTGACTGTTATGAGTTGATTATTTGCTTAATATACAATAACATCAGCCAAAATAATATAAATGGTCATTTAGAGTACAAATCATACTGAGAGATTAACAGTAAATACATAAATATTTCCTACTTTAAAAAGATTTGACAGAAAACGCAGAAAGATTATTAAAAAGTAAAAGAAAACATGACGCCAATAAGCACCATTGATTTTGAGGCCTGTCTGCACTTCATGGAGCAAAATCATTAGGATTTTTCTGTTACAACTTAATGATTTTTTTAAATTCAGCATATTATTAAAAAAAAATTACCCCGTCCTACATCAGTACGAGTGAAGCTACAATCTCCAAACATAATAGTTTAAAAATATGATCATCACTGCATCAAAATTAGAAATAATTACTGTTATTACTGCTATTATCAATGCCATTGTCATTCTTTAATGAAGTTGTCAATCATTTGTGGCATATTGAAAGAATTTTAACATTAGAAATTATTCTTGCTTGCTAATAGCATGAATGCATTTACCAGTTATTCTAATTAAGAAAATATGTCACAACCAAGTTCATGTGAATAGTAATTTATGACGCCAGACAGTTGGGTGTATAAATAAGTTCATACTTCCACCCACTATTTGGAACTGTTTTTCTTTTGCTTCTTTG